CCGCCATATTTTATATATATTTATTTATATTCTGATATTTTAATTAATTTTTCCCCTTTAGCATTCCACTATACTAAAAACACACCATATTTAATACTAAATTTGATTATGAATTCGTTCAAAGTATAAGCTGAAATTTTCTTTATTTGTTAAAATCTACCCATTTTATTAATAATTGATATTTTATATTATATGTCATAGCAATTAAATTTTCTTCTCTTTAACCTTTAATATTTATTAGTTTCTCTTTTCACTTTGCTCCCCTGTAAAAAAAGTTGGCTTTAGAGAAAGTAAAGAACGTGGAGGGTAATAAAATTGTTGCAATAAAATTATAAAGTTAAAGAATCTAGAGGGTATTTTTGTAAATAACCAATTATTTTAGAAATTAGGCCATGCTTTAAACACCAAACCAATAGTGGATAAAAATAACGGAAATGGGAAAATTAGAGTAAGAATCGTCATCAACGTCACCAAATAATTCTATCATGTCAGTGGTTGAGTGGTTCGGCTGTTCGAGGCGCAGTTGACTGTGGTGAATGAGAGGAAATTACTTTTCAACGCGTTTAATCCGTTGGATCGTGGTGGGCGCCAGGCAACTGATGACAACCTGTCGTCTATTTCGAATGGTTTCGCTCGTAGTGATGTCGATGCTCGGCGTGAGTTTCTACATATAATCTAGGGTAAGATGTCGTCATCATCTTCAACAAAGTACGAAGTAGAGAAATTTGACGGGGTTTCCGGTTTGAGTCTATGGAAGATTAGGATGAAATCGTCCATGTGTTACAAGGGTTATGGAAGGCAATTGATGAGGATTTTTCGGAAGAGATGAAAGAGATAGAGAAGGCAGACCTGAAGGAGAGAGCTTTGAATACGATCTTCATGAGCGTTACAGATAGCGTTCTTTGGGAAATTGCTAAAGAAACTTCTACAGCAATAGCATGGAAGAAGCTGGAAGATCTGTATTATAAAAAATCGCTGAAAAATCGCCTCTAGCTGAAAAAGAGGTTATACAATCTCCATATGAACGAAGGTACACCTGTTAAAACACACATTGATGAGTTTAATTCAACTATAATGGACCTGAAGAACGAGGATATCAAAATTGAGAGTGAGGATCAGGCCTTGATAGTGTTATGTTCTTTACCACCGACTTATGTACTTTTGCCGATACACTTATGTATGAGAAAGACAGTATTTCACTGGAAGATGTTAGTAATGCACTAAAATCTAAAGAGTTGAAAAAGAGCTTTCCGGACAACAAAATTGAGGGTGAGGGTCTTGTGAGTAGAGGAAGAACACAACAAAATGACTTTAACAGAAAAATGTCAACCGCCAGATCAAAGTCTAGAGCAAGGAAGCAAAGCTATTATGAGTGCGGGGAGCAAAATCACTACAAGAGAGATTGTCCTAAGCTGAAGGAGAAAGGAGGGAAGCAGAAAAAAGATAATTCGGCAAATATTATTGATACTGGCAATAATTCTGATGATAGTGATTATGTAGGGGAAGTCTGTGCTAGAGTTCTAGTCATGGGCAGAATTCCTGGATTCTTGATTCTAGTGCTACTTTTCACATGTGTCCACACAAGAATTGGTTTACAACTTACAAGCAGATCAATGTGACTGTCTACACGGGAGATGACAATCCATTACCAGTAGAGGGGATTGGTAACATCAAATTTAGAATGTTCGATGGAATTATCAGAAACATTGAGTGTTGGCATGTTCCTCGGATAAAGAGAAATTTGATCTCTCTTTCGACATTGGATGATCAAGGGTATAAGTTTCACTCCGAGAATGGAATACTTAAAGTGTGTAAAGGCTCTATGGTTCTCATGAAGAGTAAACTGCATTCTAAATTATATCAACTTCAGGTCAGTGTAGTTGAAGGGGAAGCTGTTGTAGCTTCTGGGAAAAGTGATCTGAATCAATCTCAGTTGTGGCACTTGTGACTTGGTCATATGAGTGATAAGGGATTGTCTTTGTTGAGTAAGCAGAATTTGCTGAATGGGTACAGAAATCAAGTTTTGAATTTTTGTGAGCATTGTGTGTTTGGTAAACAGACAAGGGCAAAGTTCAACAAGAAGGCCGAGCATAAGACCAGAGACAAGTTAGATTATATACATTCAGACTTGTGGAGTCCAAACAGAGTTCCCTCCAAGAGTGGTGCCATGTATTTTATGACTTTGATTGATGATTACTCAAGGATGGTGTGGGTGTATTTTCTGAAAACAAAAGATGAGGCATTTCCGACATTTGTTAAAATGCAAGACGATGGTTGAGAGGCAGACGGAAAGACAAGTTAAGCGTCTTCGAACTGACAATGGGTTGGAATTTTGTAATTCTGAGTTCGATAATTTCTGTAGCAGAGAGGGCATAGTGAGACACCGCACTTGTGTCGGAACACCACAACAAAATGGTATTGCAGAACGTATGAACATAACGCTTTGTGTTAGGGCACGAAGCATGCTTTCACACTCATGTGTTAGCAAGGATTTTTGGGCTGAAGCAATCAATACAGCTTGTTATTTGGTCAACAGATCTCCATCCACAACTATTGAGTTCAAAACTCCTTTTGAGGTATGGTCCGGTTCGCCTGCTGATTATTCAAATTTAAGGATATTTGGTTGTCCTGCTTATGCTCATGCGAGGGATGAAAAACTTGAGCCGAGGGCAAAGAAGTGCATATTTCTAGGGTATGCAAGAGTGAATGGTTATAGGTTGTGGTGCATAGATCAAAAGACTCCAGGGCTAATTATCAGTAGGGATGTAACATTTAATGAATCTGCCTCACTGGACATCCAGAGGGAGAAGGCAATAGCAGAAACAAATTGTGGTGTCAGTGACCGCATAGAGCTAGAAATTGAATCTCCACTAGCTCAGCCCAGTAGTTCTAAAGTAGAGGAAGTGGAGAAGGTGCAAAATATTGATCAAGATGATAATATTAATGCACTTGTGCAACATCAACCATATAGCATTGCAACAGGCGGAGAGAAGAGAGTGATCAACCGACCACAAATGTTTGCATACGTAGTTGATGGGAATCTTCTTGGATACACGAATCATGTGGGATTTGCTTTGGCAGTTGCAGAGACCATTGATGCGTTTGAGTGTTATAGCTATCCAGAAGCTATTCCGGGTACAGAACCAAATCGACTGATTAGTGCTATGGCTGAAGAGATTGAGTCTCTTAACAAGTTTAGGCGTTGCCTAGACTTGGTTGATGTGCGCGTCAATGGGTAGAGCCCTTGCGAGGGCTGAGGGCAAGGTAGAGAGACGTTGTTTATGTTGATGAAGAGAATTCAAGCCAAGGGGAAGATTTGTTAATTTGTTGCTTGAATTATTTCCTTGTATTTTTAGGAAACCCATAATCCCTATAGGTTTAGGCAAACTCATTGTCCTAATAGATTTGGGAAAAGAAAACTTATTGTCCTTGTCAAATTAGGAAACCTTTCTCTTATAGGTTTGGGACTATATGGGATCTATATATAAGGGTTGTAGTTGAGAATTCTGTAGATTGTATTGTGTTTTTCTTCTCATTCATAGTGAAAAACTCTCTCTGTTTCTGCCTTGAGGATTAGGCTTAGCCGAACCTCGTTAAATCCTTGTGTTGATTTTTCTTCTTTATTTGCTTTGTGTGTGATTGTGCGCTAGTTAACCTACGATCTTTCACAACATATACTTATAAGTCAATTTGACCAGCTTATAAGTTAAAGCCAAACACCCTCTACTTCTCTATTTTACATTTGTTGCTGCCGATGGAGTCACCCATTGATGAGGTAGAGAAGAAAAGAAAAAGAAAGAGGAAGGAGAATTGAATTTACATTCTGCTTAAAAAGACAGTAAAGCCCATCTTACTAATATGTTGCTCGTGTAATGTCAGGGGCATTTAATTCAAAGAAAAAATGGGGATATTGCTAACCTATTACCTTCGTGTAGTAGGTTAGCAAGACCCTCACGCACATAAAACACACACACACACTCAATAATTCTTTATGAATTGAAAATATAATCAATTCATTTAATCTTTCTTAATACATTGTTGATCTTTTAATCAAATTTTTATTAATTCAATTTTGAAAAGCATCCTTCAGTTGAGGCAAATATTTTTAGGAACTTTTAACATTATTCTATAAGTCATTTGCAAAGATATTTTCTCTAATTTTAATGTGTTTTTCTGAAGATTTTTTTTTTTTTTACATGTTTCTTTTCATTCTTCCTCTTATCATTATAGAATAGAAGCCTAAACCTTGACCCTAAAATAAAAGGGTTGATAAAAAATAAGTAAATCTCGTTAGCTTTAGATGATAATTGTAAGCCAATCCACTAACGATAAGACTTAGGATAAAATTCTCAAACAAAAGAGCAAATTCATTCTATTTTCCACAATTGAAGGAGTCCCGACCATAGAATTTAGGAGCTTTTCTTTCAAATTTTATTTTCAAACATGTTTGTTTACCGATTTTAACACTGTTTGGCAGATTTTGAAAATAAAATTTTCAAATCCCAAAAACAACTCTGAAGTAGTTTTTGAAATTTTCTACTCACAAAACATTAAATTATTTTCAAATAAAATGCACGTTCAAACACAATTTCAACTTTCAAAAACTCATTTTTTCAAGTTTTAACCAAATCGATATCCAAACGCTAGCTAAGGACAATATTTGGACCCAATTCAAATGGAGGACAAATTTATTTTATTTTCTATAGTTGAGGGACATTTTTTGCCCTATTCCCATTAAAGTGCTACTCCATTATCTTTTACTTGTACGGTTCTTCTTGAACACTTAATTTTAAAGTAAATTTAACCGTTATTATCAAATTGGTTATTACGTTTTAAGAGACATTCAAGGTTAATATAATTTTTTCCAAATTCTCACGACTCCTTTCTATAGAAGTTGTTTTTAGTCACCATCAATTACTAAGTACGGAGTCATCTTCCTTTTTTTTAAAATAAAAAATTTATATTTTTTCCCACAAACTTCAATACTGTCTAGACGAATATAAAATCATAAAATGCACTATTAAATGTTTTTGGGGGCTCAAGCAAAGGCCCTCTAGTCGAAGGTAGAGGGACAAAAAATTACATGGCTTTACAACTATACAAAATTCCCAGAGCACCACTCCTCGTCCCAACATTAGAAGATCAGCGTTTTTCATAGACGAGAGGCACGACCCTCTGCCCAAGTAGTTGTGATTAACATCTTCCTATCATTTCTTTGTGTATGTCAAGTAAGGGTCTTGAGCAATACTTAAAACATCTGGCCTCTCTGCTTGATTATATGTTAAACAACGACGAATGAACTCCTGCTCAAAATCCATAGAAAAGAGAGAATCAACTATCCAAGAATAAGTGGCAGGAAGAAATAAAACATAATTCCCTTTTGTCCTAGTAAATACTGTTTTCTGTTGGAATGTAACTTATCTTGTACATTGCTTAATTGAATTTTGTTCATCGACCAGCTAGTATACCAAGTGTTATGGCCTAGAGTAATCATATGGGATACTAGACATAGGTTCCGAATCCTGATCTCAAATCTTGATATGTACTAGAAGTCTTTGGTCTTTGTATGTTTGGACAACTCTCATGCTGACAATATAAAGTAGTCCATGTGGATTGAGGTAGAGCATGGAGTCAATTTGAGCATCAGCAAATGTGCTCGAATTGAAACCATACCTATTCTGTATCGCTAAAAATATAATATAGCTGTGTTGAAACTTTAACCACACTCGGGGCATCAAATAACCCTAGAAGAGAAGGCAAACCATTGGTCGGTTGATTCATTTTATCAAAATCGGGTACACAAATATCTAATACACATTGGTAACAACAACACTTGCCTGAGTTTGAGGGCCACCAGTTTCTCTAGATAATGCTCACAAAAAGAAGGAAAAAAATAGGGACAGTTAATCAGATCTTTGTCAGATAAGGATAGGGAAAAACTCACCTTTGCCTCATTAGAGACAGCTGGTCTTGTAGGGAATTCAACCTTTCTTGCTTTAATAATGGTGTCCTCCCTCAGTATTCTCTCTTGTGACTGGTCGTGCCCAAAGGGCCGTTTACCAAACAGCATTTGGTACAACAAAATACCAGCCGACCAGACATCAACCTAGTTGCATAAATAAAAAAATAACTGTACAAGTTTAGTTTATAAACTAATAACAGTTCACTTGGACTTTTAGGATAAAATGCGTCAATCAAGATGCAAACGCTGCATTAAGTCCAAGATCTTTAGAAGTAAGAACTAAGAAAATGTTGGGAACCTTTTTCCTGGCTTTCAGTGAATACCTATTTAACTTTATCAGCAAGTGAAAGCAAAGCAGGAACTCTCACCTTTGAGGATATAAGAGGCGTCTTGCTTAGCTCAAAGCATTCAGGAGGAAGGTACCTGGAAAAACAATTGACAGAAATAGTGGACCTTACTAATATTTTACGGAGGCAAGAGATGACAGCAAAAGTAAGTTCAGAACTAACGCACCTCGGTAAATACACAATGCTAACTGTGACATTCAAAAATTTAAAACTCACCAGTACGTTCCAGCTCCCTGGGATGTTAGCTCCATGCCCTGGGATCCAACATCATCCTCCACTATCTTGCTAAGGCCAAAATCAGTGAACTTAGCAATGCCAAACTCATCAAACAGAACATTCCCTGGCTTCAAATCATAATGGATGATCTTCTGTGACTTTTTATTCAAGTAGACAAGGCCTTGAAAAATCTGCACAATGATGATCCTTGCTTCTCTTTCTGGCAACACAGGTGTTGCTTTGAGAACTGCATCAAGGTCCTTTCCTAGAGACAAGAATATTTATGACCAATATGAGAGGGGAATCCTAAAATACCTCATTGCACTGAGAACAATAGCAACTGTACCATATTGATTATGCAGTAAAGAGAGTAACAAACCACTACAGTACTCCAAGATAGTGCAAAATGTGTTTTGGTCTATCTCAAAAATGTCCCAAAGCCGCACAATGTGATGGTGCACCAAAGTCTTATGGATGTTGTACTCCCTGATTGCATGCCGTATGTAACTTTGCTTCTTCTCTTCGCTCCACTGAGCATTTAGTCCATGTAGCTTACATGCAACATATCTATGGTCTACCAAGTCGAAAGCCTGCCAGAATTTTGTAATTTGAAGTGAATGGAAGGATATTTTGTCTCAACATTTTAACACATAAAAGAGGTCTACATTGCCATTTGGTAAATGATCATTCTATTGGTTCCTTTGACTGGAAATAAGACTAGCAGTCACTTTGAAATTCCTACCTTATACACCTCACTAAATCCTCCTTTTCCAAGAAGGTTTAAGAGGGCATATCGGTGGTTCAAAATCTGAAAATTGTTAAAACGAGAACCATCTTCATCACGTATGCGTTTCATTTCACGAATTAACCTTCCTTTCTCTAGTTCATATCGGTCCCTCTCACGCATTATCACATCTTCCTCCTAATTAAAAAGAAAATGTGGTGTGAAGCATGGACAAAGAACTGACATGTGGATAAATATTCAAAAAAAAAGAAAAGAAAGGAGAGAACAGTTACACGTTTGATGCTGGCTAAACGAGACTTGTAGATCTCATCCTGAATGAGAGAATCTTCTTCCTGCAAACCTCCCTCCACATCTCCTCCATCACTTTTATCTGCAATGGTAGGGTAAGCATTATTGCTAGTAACCTTTTACACCTCAAGAAACATAGTTTAGACAGTCCAGGAAATTGAAAAATCAAATGAACAGATATTCCTGCTGAAATTTTGACAAAAGTGTCATGAACAAGAAGCCCAACGTGGAAGTCATTTTAACCAAAGATTACTTCCAAGCTGATAAGAGATAGGCAACTATAAATTATAATAAGACAGGACCTCCAGCAAATGTTGCTGATTCCACACTGACATGAAATAAAATATTTTGTGCTTAAAGCTCCAGCTTTATTTTAATGCCAGCTGACAAGACAGGAATGAAACTGAAAATCACCCCAACATGTCTTGACCTTTGGAATGCCATGCAACCATTTAACACAAAGCAGATTCAAGTCCAGAAAAATATAGTAAAAGAAGTTTTAGAGGTCTAGTACCATTACTAAAAAGCATACAGGTTAGGGACATTTTCAGGAGGAAATCACATTCATGCACCAAAATAACACCATTTCTAGCAAGAGAAGGAAAAATGAGAAAGTACATATGATTCAAAGGGAAAACTTTACCTGGTTGTCGTTTCTTGAGCAATTTACGCTGCCGTTCAATAGCTTCTTTAGTTTCTAATAAGTTTCTCTAAAGAAAAAAAAANTTCTCTGAAGAAAAAAAAATCCATTAACGATAACACCTATTGAATCTAGGCATATGATAAGCAATGATTAGAAGTGTAACTAATATTAAACAGCAGAAACTAAATAGCACATAGGACAAGTGTATATTGTGCTTATCGGTGAGTTCAGCTTGCAAGAAATCTAACAAAAGTTTCTTCGAAATAGAACTAAACTGGAAAATGTCCAAAGTTACTTGGCCTGCTTTCCTTTTTATCCATCAATTTTACTGACCTCCTTCCCTGATGGACAACTCTTGTGCGTTCTAGGATCCAGGCAGAATAAACTAGTACCAGTTCGTCCTTCTTATTAGTGGTGTGTGTTTTCAACTAATTATAGCCCTTCATCAAATTTTAAACTGTTATTTAAATTTTTTACTTGAACTCTTAGATTTCAGTATACTAATTTTTCCTAATTTAAGTCTCCCCTTCTTTTGTGGGCATGGTTGTTAAGACATAAGTTGAAGCTCTATTGTACTGTATAAGCTAAACAGAAGTGCAGTAACTATGTTAATCGTCAGTATAGACACCTTAATATATCCCTAAAATGAAAAACAAGCACTCTCTTGCGAGAACACCAAACTAAGGAACGTACAAGCTGAGCATTGAGGTCCTTTAGTGCTTGCCCATCTTCCCAGGCCTCAGAAATAATGGTTCCAGCTCTGCAATTAACCAAAGAACATAAAGAACAGAAAACAATCAGCAGTCACAAAAATGAAGAGGTTAAATTAAAATGATACTAAGAGGAGTTTGGCATACAGGATACTGATATTATGGAGTTCTAATGGTAAACCTGTTTCATAGGTATCATCTACAAAATCACAACTACAATCAATCAATTAACTACACCTCAATCCATAGTTGGGATTGGATAATATGAATCCTCTATGTCTACTTTGCTCAATTCAGACCATTCGTTTTCAACACTAGAATATTTGTCCTTTAAGACATATTAAGAGTTCTATGGGGCAATTGCAGATTTCTGTACATCGCAAGGCTGAAATTTGAGACTTAGAAGGAATATTAATGATTGGGATATGGAGAGGGTAGGCCTCTTGCTACAAATGCTAAGCAACACTGTTTTGGACCACTACAAAAATGGACTCTATCAGTTGGAAGGGTCACTCCAAGGGCATTTTTTCAGTTAAAGGCTGTTACAATATATTGGGTTGTAGCAACAGTGAGTTATGGCCTTGGAAAAAAATATGGTACAACATGGCACCTTTAAAGGTTTCTTGCTTCTCTTGGATTGTGGCTAAGGAGGCATGCCTCACAGAAAACAATCTCCAGAAGAGGGGTTTCAAGCTGTGCAGCAGATGCCCTTTATGTGAAGAACAATCTGAAGATGTTACCCATCTTTTTTTGCATTGCAAGGTTACAAACCAGTTATGGAACATGTTCTTTTCAATATTTGGTATGTCTTGGACCATGCCTAACTCCATTTCAGAAATGCTGAAGTGCTGGACCAGGGAGGGTCTATGCAAGGAAGCTCAAAAGACCTGGAACACTGTTCCTCAAGTTATCTGGTGGTCTGTCTGGCTTGAAAGAAACAGGAGAATTTTTGAAGGCAAAAGAAGAAATTTACAGTGCCTTAAGCTTAATTGCATTTTGTTGATCACTTTTTGGTGCTTTTGCACCTGATGTAGATGATATTTTAGACGCAATTGCTGATTTGCACAACCTGTAATTATGCCTGTTGCACTGGCTTAGTGCAAATAATTATATAATATATTATTTACCCATCAAAAAAAAAAACATATTAAGAGTTCTCTCAAGCTAGAGTTTCTCTAACTCTCAAACTTATTCCTACACAACAACAACAACAAGCCTCTAACTAAAATAAAAAATTACTCGTAAACAACACACCTAAAGTAAGATAATAATAACAATTAAACCTTACTCCAAATTAGTTGTTATTAATCATACGGATTTTCTGCTTCCATTGTATTCTATGTTTTATATGTGTCCGCATCTGAAAGATTGGTGTTCTAAGTCAACTTCTTTCCATGTCATTTTAGGTTATCTCATTGTTTTATTATGTTACCTTCAATCATTATAGTGTTGCACCTATGGACCGGTGATATGCAAGTTTACATAAAGATATGGCCAGATGAAACTCTGTTTTGTTTAATCTTCTATATGTGCTACTTGCAAAGTGGATGTGATCACTCTAATTTTGTCCAATCTTGTACATCCATCTTAAAATTCACATTTTTACAATTTCATCTAGGGATATGTTAGACCTTAGATGCCCAACATTTACTCCCATATAACATTGTTGGTCTCTCAACCTTTATACAGAAATTACCTTTCTTTTTGTTATGTATCTTCCTTTTTGAATATCACTCCTGTAGCATACCTCTATTCCAGACATGCAATTTTAATTCTTTTTTTCTTTCTAAGAAGTCATCCTACTGTGGTTCTATCTATTACATTTTTTGAGAAGAGTGGTTCTATCTATTACATTTGCATCTATTATGCCTTCTCCTGCAGGACTAAGTTTAGGTATCTCGATATTTGTGTTTAGACATCACAATCCCGTCAAATCCCACTTCACCTTTATTTTTTATTTTTTTGTGGTAGCTAAACTCAGTGCATATATTATGTCTTTCTTCTACTTATCCTAAAACCTCATTACCTAGAGTGCCTATCCATAGTTTCAAACTTTGATTCACTCTCTTACTGGTTTAGTCATTTAACCTAATGCCATACGAAAATAATATGCACCATGGAATCTGTGAGAAGGCACGGGAGAAAATATGTTATTGATATTAGATGATAAATACAATACAAGAGGTCCCTATTTATAGCTATACACTACAAGGAGATATTAATCCTCTTCCAATGTGGGACAAGACTACACTATACATATCTGTAAACTAACACTCCCCCTCAAGCCGGTGCATACACATCATATGTACCGAGCTTGTTACACATGTAACTAATACGAGAACCAATAAGAGACTTAGTGAAAATATCTGCTAGTTGATCATTCGACTTTACAAACTTTGTAACAATATCTCCTGAAAGTATTTTTTCTCTGACAAAGTGACAGTCGATCTCAATGTGTTTAGTCCTCTCATGGAACACCGGATTTGACGCAATATGAAGAGCAGCTTGGTTATCACACACTAGTTCCATCTTGCTGATTTCTCCGAACTTTAACTCCTTGAGTAACTGCTTGACCCAAACTAACTCACACGTCGCCATAGCCATGGCCCGATATTCGGCTTCGGCGCTAGATCGAGCAACTACATTCTGTTTCTTGCTCTTCCACGAGACCAAATTACCTCCCACTAGAACACAATATCCAGATGTAGAACGTCTATCAAAAGGTGATCCTGCCCAATCAGCATCTGTGTACCCAACAATCTGCTCGTGGCCTCGATCCTCGAATAGTAATCCTTTGCCTGGAGCTGACTTTATATACCGAAGAATGCGAACAACTGCATCCCAGTGACTATCACAGGGAGAATCCATAAACTGACTTACAACACTCACCGGAAAAGAAATGTCAGGTCTAGTCACTGTGAGGTAATTCAATTTGCCAACCAACCTCCTATATCTCGTAGGGTCTCTAAGAGGCTCCCCCTGTCCAGGCAGAAGCTTAGCATTCGGATCCATAGGAGAGTCAATAGGTCTGCAACCCATCATTCCAGTCTCCTCAAGAATGTCTAAGGCATACTTCCGCTGTGAAATAACAATACCTGAGCTAGACTGAGCGACCTCAATACCTAGAAAATACTTCAATCTGCCCAGATCCTTAGTCTGGAAGTGCTGAAAGAGATGTTGCTTCAGATTAGTAATACCATCCTGATCATTACCAGTAATAACAATATCATCAACATAAACCACTAGATAAATACACAGATTAGGAGCAGAATGCCGATAAAACACAGAGTGATCAGCCTCACTACGAGTCATGCCGAACTCCTGAATAATTGTGCTGAACTTACCAAACCAAGCTCGAGGGGACTGTTTCAAACCATATAGTGACTTGCGCAATCTGCACACACAACCATTAAACTCCCCCTGAGCAACAAAACCAGGTGGTTGCTCCATATAAACTTCTTCCTCAAGATCACCGTGGAGAAAAGCATTCTTAATGTCTAACTGATAAAGAGGCCAATGACGTACAACAGCCATGGACAAAAAGAGACGAATAGATGCTACTTTAGCCACGGGAGAGAAAGTATCACTATAATCAAGCCCAAAAATCTGAGTATATCCTTTTGCAACAAGACGAGCCTTAAGCCGATCAACCTGGCCATCCGGGCCGACTTTGACTGCATAAACCCAACGACAACCAACAGTAGACTTACCTGCAGGAAGAGGAACAAGCTCCCAAGTGTCACTCGCATGTAAAGCAGACATCTCGTCAATCATAGCATGTCGCCATCCTGGATGAGATAGTGCCTCACCTGTAGACTTAGGGATAGAAACAGTGGACAAAGAAGATATAAAAGCATAATGTGGTGACGACAGACGATGATAACTTAAACCGACATAGTGGGGATTAGGATTAAGTGTGGATCGTACACCTTTGCGGAGTGCAATTGGTTGACTAAGAGGAGACAAGTCCGCAGTAGGTGCAGAATCTGATGCGGGGCGTGAATCACCTGGGCCTGATGCTGGATGTGGACGACGATGATAAGTCAAGAGTGGTGGAGCTGCAGAAGGTTGAACTGGATTATGTGGAGGAACTGGAGCTATAGGTGGTGGAGCTACAACCGGAGCTGTAGGTGGTGGAACTGGAGCTATAGGTGGTAGAGCTACAACTGGAGCTATAGGTGGTGGAGCTACAACTGGAGCTGTAGGTGGTGGAGCTGGAGTGACTGAATCTCCAAAAGATGAAACTGGTAGTACCTCAGAAATATCTAAGTGATGACCTGAACCTGTGAAGTATGATTGGGTTTCAAAGAAGGTAACATCAGCGGACATAAGGTACCGCTGGAGGTCAGGAGAGTAGCATCGATACCCCTTTTGTGTTCTCGAGAAACCCAGAAATACGCACTTAAGAGCACGAGGAGCTAACTTATCTGTTCCTGGAGTAAGGTTATGGACAAAACAAGTGCTTCCAAAGATACGGGGTGGAAGAGAGAACAAAGGTAAGTGGGGAAACATGACAGAGAATGGAACTTGGTTCTGGATAGCTGAAGATGGCATACGATTAATAAGATAGCAAGATGTAAGAACTGCATCCCCCAAAAAACGCAGCGGAGCATGAGATTATAGGAGTAGGGTACGGGCAGTTTCAATAAGATGTCTATTCTTTCTTTCAGCTACCCCATTTTGTTGAGATGTGTACGGACAAGATGTTTGATGAATAATCCCATGAGATTTCATAAACTGTTGAAATGGGGAAGACAAATACTCTCGGACATTATCACTACGAAATGTGCAAATAGAAACCCAAAATTGATTTTGAATTTCAGCGTGGAAGGTCTGGAAAATAGAAAACAGCTCAGATCGATTTTTTTATCAAAAATATCCAAGTGCACCTAGAATAATCATCAATGAAACTGACAAAGCAGCGGAATCCCAAGGTGGAATTGACCCGACTAGAACCCCAAACATCTGAATGGACTAAAGTAAAAGGTGACTGCTCGATTATCAAGATGCCGAGGGAAATGGGAGCGGGTATGCTTACCGAGCTGACATGACTCACACTCTAGAGCTGACAAGTGAGATAAACCATATACCATTCTCTGAAGTTTTGACAAACTGGGATGTCCCAACCGTTTATGTAATAAATCTGGTGAATCAGTAACAGGACAAGTTGTATAAGGAAGACAAGATGTGAGTCCATGTGATTTAGCAAGGATAGGGTAATAAAGTCTGTTTGATTCACGCTCGGTACCAATGATCCGCCCCGTACTACGTTCCTGTATAAAAACATGGTCATCAAGAAATAAAACAGCGCATTTAAGTGATTTGGCTAAGCGACTAACAGCTATGAGATTAAAAGGACTATTGGGAACATAAAGTACTGAATCTAAAGGTAAGGAAGGAAGTGGGCTTGCTTGATCTATTGCAGTTGCCATGATTTGAGACCCATTGGCCATTGTGACTTTTGGAAGAGATTGAGAATACGAAATAGTAGTGAAAAGAGATTTGTTACCAGAAATATGATCTGATGCACCTGAATCAATGACCCAAGACTCAGAGGATGAAGATTGGGAGAAACAAGTCACGCTATTACCTGTTTGAACAACAGAAGTTATCTCAGAAGATGTCTGCTTACATGCTTTATACTGAAGGAACTCAATATAATCTGCTAAAGAAACCATCTGACTATTCAAAGCATCGGTTCCCATGTCGCTACAATTTGCAGTAATAGGGTTAACTTGAAATAGTGGAAATAAGTAATTCCTGTGAGAAAACTGAAGAAATAGCTTGAAAAACACTATTTACAGCAGGAAAACAGAACATTGTTCTGCGCCGGAAACACCGTAGCTCGCCGAAAAATTCCAAAGTTGTCGGAATTTGTCGTAACCAGGATGGATAGACTCGGAATTCCTTTGCGAGCAAGCTGTCCTGAAGAAATGGTTTCAAAAAATGGCCGGAAAGGTCACTGTTCACGCCAGAAAAATATAAAAGTGGTCAGAATTTGATTTGAATTAGATGGGTAGGCTCGGAATTTTGAGGAGAGCACACTGTCCTGAAGAAGCTTCACGAAAAAATGGCCGGAACCTTCGCCGGAAAAGTTGTTGCCGGCGCGTGGAGGAGCGTGGTGGCTTTTCTGCCGGATAAAATTTCAGGGGTTGGTCGTCGGAGGGTGATCTACCTCGTGGTGGTGTTGGTTTTAGCACAACACCGACAGAAAGTGACTTTCACTTAGATAAGCCTTAGGTCACCGGAAAAATTGCACGATGACTAAGTTCTTTCTTCCCGGTTAACGCTGGAATGACGCACATCGATCTTTTCTCACTAATGCTCTGATATCATGTGAGAAGGTACGGGAGAAAATATGTTACTGATATTAGATGATAAATACAATACAAGAGATCCCTATTTATAGCTATACACTACAAGGAGATATTACTCCCCTTCCAATATGGGACAAGACTACACTATACATATCTGTAAACTTACAGAATCCATCATTATACGATTGTAACAAGAACCTCAATCCCAAACTAATTGGGGTTGACTATATGTAAATGACTGTTAGCTCATCTATAACTAAGGTAAACAAGTACCGACTCAAGAGAGATCCTCCGTGTTAACACAATTATAGGAACCCTTCTGTACCTTCTCTCACTTCTCACACTTGTGTGAATGCTCCTTCACAAATATCCTTTATGGAACTTGTATGTTTGATATGAATCTTTTTCAAACAACTAAAAGATTTTTCTTAGTGCTCTATCATCTGCTTTATTTAGGCCAATGAATATCATATCAGATCTTTCTGTCTCTTCCTATAGAATATCATCCATCTTCTTATAAAAAATATAACCACTATTGCAGATCTATTAAGCATAAAATCAAACAGGTTCTCATTTCAGATATACTTTCTTACTAATTTGGCATCTTTTCATTCTTAAATATGTCATTGAATATCTTGGTTCGCCATACTACTACAACTGCTTCAAAGCCACTTACAAACGTCTATGAAGAAATCACCAGCCCTTTCTGGGCCTAAATGGTACCCCTAGTAAATTGTTAAGTGCAAGGATCAAGACTCCAAATTCCCTTACCATAAACTAACAAGATACTTGAATATTTTGGTTCTAAGTTTGCCCTGGCAAGGTAAGCAAAATAGAGGTAGCGCAGTACACATAGTGCATAGTCTAGAGAATCTATTTCTTACTCCTTGGATTGATAATGATAGCACATAGTCATCTGGTATACATGTCCAGTGAACTGCGGATATCAATCCACATAAACCGTAAAGCCATTCTTTCTTTCAAGATATTTCGTTTTGGTTCCATTTCTTTTTCAGAATTAACTTGACTAGCATCTTACATAAGACAAAAGCTCAAGTTTCACCTACAATCTTCCGCTGGCATCCTATGGTTAAACCATGACCAAGTCCATTGTAAAGCACCTTCAACATTCATCACTATTTTCCAAAAGTGAATGTGCTTTTTGAGCAATAACTTGCTATGCAAGCTTCTGAAAGAAATCATGGAAATCTCTAAAAGCATGGTCAGAACAACAGTTGGGAATTTGTTGAAGCATGTGACCTTCAATAGATACCATAGTGCTAAACAATTCAAAACCCCTAGAGACAACACAGAGTACATTTCCAGATAAGAAGCAGAAATACAGGCTCTATTTTGCATATTAGATTAAGTATCCTTCGCTTCCAAAGCATCGAAATATTATGAAGCATTTGCCCTCATATCAAATATAAAATGGACACAACAGATAAACAAAGGACAGCATCGTTGGAGATGAGTGAACACTTTGATACTTTAGCAAAATTCTACCACTAGATCAAAATGTGAAGCTTATATAACACTGGGCACTCTATAAATAGATTTTCTGTTGATGGGTACACAAACTTTCTTTAAGTAGGTTTGATGAGGCAATATAATTGCTGGCAGCTTCCTATGGACAGCTTAGTTGAAGTCATCTGTTGAACTTATTATATACACTAGACCAAGCAGCAAATTGCTTGCTCTAAGTAACACGTGATAAGGATGAGGTACCTGATTACTCCCACGTTACCCAGTCTCAAAGATTCCTGTCGCACTTTCATACGTGCCTCTTGCCTCTCAGCTTTTGAAACAGATATTAATAATTCAGATATTATTTTCGTTCTCTGCAGAATAAAAATATATGTATGAACCACTGCCATGAGGAAATACAAATAAACAGGAATACATCAACCATATTTCTTCAGATTTTTTTTTGATCAAGTAAATAAAATTTTCATTAATGATAGGGCCAAACAAAAAGTGCCCGTATACGAGAAGTATACCAAAAAGTAAAAAAACCTACAAAAAAATATGGTTCTCTACGAAGGACACCCAATATCCTATACAACAAGGAACTTCATGGGTGCACCAAAAGAAAATAAGGGATAGGAGGCTACTCCTCAACTGAACAAAACTCATCTCTACCCCTTCAAAAGCTCATATGTTTCTTTCCCTCCAAATAAACTGATGGAATCCCACATCAGAGATGGATGGGTTCTTGAACTCTTTATATGGCTTGGGCAATCCTCACCCTTTGAGCTAGCTTTTGGGGTTGATTTAGGCCTAAGGTNGACTCTTTATATGGCTTGGGCAATCCTCACCCTTTGAGCTAGCTTTTGGGATTGATTTAGGCCTAAGGTCCATTCTTATCAAGGTATTAGAGCCAGGCCCCCGTTGTTGGGCCCTCAAGATAGATTGTTCACGCTCCAATTGGCCAGTCTGGGCGTGCGGCGGGGTGATGGAATCTCACATCGGAGATGGATGAGTTCCTTGGACTCTTTATATGGCTTGGCAATTCTCACCCTTTGAGCTGACTTTTGAGGTTGAGTTAGGCCCAGGGTCCATTTCTATTATAAACCACATGAGTGCTAGTGGAACAGCAGTCCATGCCATGTGCTTTTTCCTCCTAGTCCCACAATTCCAATTGATCCTTAATTCTTTAAGAGTACTTGGCATCACCCATGAAATACCAAACCAACTAAGTATTCCCCCCCATAACCTTGAGCCAACACGACAATGTACAAGGAGATGATCCACATCTTCACCCGCCACCTTGCACAAGAAGCACCAATTGACACAAATGACCTTCCGCTTCCTAAGGTTCTCGGCCATCAAGATCACCCTTCTAGCTGCTAACCAAGTGAAGCATACTTTCCTCGGCACCTTTGGGATCCAAATTGAGCTATATGGAAAAACATTCTCCTCCCTAATTAAAAGCTTTTCATAGAAAGACTTAATAGTAATACTCTGTATTCCCCACCTCCATGCATCACGACTATCTGGTGATGTACATTGTTTATGGAGCAAGTCTATCAATCTTTGGACCTCAATCACCTCCTAATCATGGAAACTCTTCCCGAATCTCAAATCCCAAAAAATCTCTCCACCCTCTATCCTCCGAATTTGTTGGACTGTCAACTCCTTTTGGAATGATACTTTGTACATGTTCGGTAAATCATCTTTCAACATATTATCTCCACACCACCTATGTCTCCAAAAACTAACTCTCCTCCCCTCTCCTACCTTGAATGAT